GACTCCCCGCGGAGATTGTGCCTCCTCAGACCGCCTCGGAAATATCCTCGGAATGTATCCGGGACAAACGTAACTCGCGCTAATGTATACGTGACACGTACAGCGCGAGTCTCGCGCCGGAAGTCTCTTCCGAGATAAAGCACGCGTCTGTCATTTTAATGGAATAACAAGGAGCACGTTTTGCCACTCGGCTCCCTCCTTTCGCCGCGTTCGCGCCGATTTCCGGTTTAGAGATTGCCCGATAACAAATCGATTCGTATCGCCCGATTTAATTCAACAGTGTTCGCGAATTTATGAGACCAGATAAGCGTGTAATTGATACAGCTAATTTGCGAGGGGGCGCGCTGCGGGGGCTAATTTATTTATGAAGTCATATTTGCAATATTGTCACAGCAATTATGTAGATTCTTGTTTCGTTTTACACGATGTTTGGCGCTCGTATCGAATGAAATAAATTCCGCCCGGTCAAAAGGAATATTCTATTACCATCGCCGTTCATTATCATTCGCGTATAAATAGATTGAATCGCTCATTATACTAATAATGTGATCGAATTATTTGACCGATTTGATCGACAATGAGAACAAATAAAATGCGGCGAGGCACGCGGAATTACGATAATATAAATCAGGCCCGAATTTTCAAAGTCGCGATAAATCATGCCTAGTTTTGTTATGCGAACAGTTTTGATTTACCGGGGTATTTACAGTGTGGTAACTCGAAAATTGTGATTTACACGTGGTTTCCCTAGCGCCGGCAGACACATAAAACACTATAACGCATGAGACCTCTTCCTTAATTCCTCCGCTAATACTGATTAATTATCGCGTCGAGAAATCGATATACCGAAGTGAAGCACGAAATTATAGCATTAATCGTTTCTTAAGTCTTCAACACCAAAATTAAATACACTAAAAATGAACACGCTCGTGCAACGTACTTGTATGTTACTTGGAAGCGATAAATCTATTCGGTTGATAAGATTGCAATCGCAATCGATATAGTGCGGTTGCTCTACGCGGAGAGACGATAAGGTCAACAGAAAATCGAGGGACGCGTCTTTTCAGCTTTTCACTTTTCGCGATCGATGTTCGCGGAAAAGGAACGAAGCCGATTGTTCGCTGCAGATGACCGACGTCTGCAGCGGTCAAAAATACTGGAAGGACAATAGAATCGGAATTCCCTTTCATTATCGTTTCACTCGATCGAGTGATCGCACGCGTACTCGTCTTTCTCATCACGTTGATAGTGGGTTTGCGTGCGTTGCCTGAGAATTTCGGGCTGTTGCGTGGCAGGCAAGTTGACGAGACTGATTGGTGGACCGTGTACGTAGACATCGATGCACAATGGAAACTATATAGTGAGCGAGTGGATGATTTATTGAAAAATCGAGGGAGTTGTATCGAACGCGCGAACGAGTCACGATTAATTTGATCGGGAAAAATAAAAAAAAATGTTATCAAGTGCACGTGTAATCTGAAGAGAAAAAAAAGTAGCTTCTTAAAAGGAAAAAAGCTGAACCGCAGAAAGTGAAAGATGGAATCATAGAATGGAAAAGAGGAAGAAGCCGTCGACCGGTGAATTTCTTGGATGATTGGACGTTAAGCAGTGACGGGGCTGTTTTCTTAAGTATCATTCGTCCAAACGGGAGCTTGAATATCCTCGTCGGCAATTAAAAACGGATATCCGCGCTCTCATCGATATGCATGATAAGCGAAAGGAGTCGTCCGGCTCCCGCCAATAATTGGAGCGGAAAGAGTTAAGTCGCATTTCTCCAAGAAGGTAATGGTCATCGAACGAGGACCTCGGTCTCAGTTCCGCGAGCGTATCGATAAAATCTCGATAGGCGGCCTCGACTCGCGTCGTCTTTTATCCGCTCATTATAGGCTCTCGCGGTGTCACAAAGGATTTCTCCTCCTTACGTAACAATGTCCTGCGCTCGTTTCCCGGATTTTAAAGAGGTCTTCGCCGGCCAAGAGCACTTCGCCTCAACTCGTTGAAGGCTTTGATCTTGAATTAATATAAGTCAACCGACGGGCGCGGAGATAATCGTCCCGTCTATATCAAATCGATCCTATCGTTCCGGTCGATGTTCATCGCAACGAGGGAAAAGGAAATTCCCTCTCTCTCTCTCTCTGGGCATTTATTCTTTCCGTTTGAGGACTGCCGTAAGAATCCACCGAGGAGAATCCGTTTCCTTCTTTTACCTCTCTTACCTTTTTTTTTTTTATGCGCAGGTCATATTAAGCTTCCTCGAAGTGCGTCCTTATCGATGATCGAACAGCCGAGTTATTTATTTTAATTCAACTGCGGAGTGCGCGAAGTAGCTTCGGTGAGTTTCTCATCCATCCGCTTGCGATCACGCAATTGTACCCCTTCCAGCAGACATTTAACCGTTTAATGTAATTAAGTTCCGACCAAGTGCAGCGTCCGGCGTGGTTTTAGTTCCACTCGAGATTTCCTATACACTCCCGGATCAAATCGTAATCATCGATGAGTTTCCGTCGAACGTTGACGGTAAACACGATTTAGAAATCAAACACCCAGTCGCGACTCTGAAAGCGGGCTAAGTTAATCGGTAAAGTAAACACGCGTGATGTCGATATTGCCGAAATACGTTTGATGCAGAAATGCTGTTCCTCCACGACAAATATAGAACGTGCGTGATTTCGCAAACAAATGTAAAATTAAAAATATAAAAAGTAATTTACATTTTCTTTACGTTTCCTCGGCTAAAGAGAAACTCTCGTGTTAATTACGCCAATTGTCGCGGCTAGTCTGAAATTTTTAAGAGCATTCGCCGGAAGTACGTGCTTGTGAGAGATTGTTAGTGCATTCGCGCGAGCACCGGCCAGTGAATCCGGAATCACCGCGTCCAAGTTTCGAGACAAACGCCACACACCTCTCGAGCAGAATTGAAATCCAAACTGGGTTAACCGGCATACATATGAATGAATCCGGGCCTCTTTTTGAACGTCGAACTCCGCGGCGCTTGCAATTCATAGATTAAGTAAAACACAGCCGTGGAACTCGTAACAGGATCTGGCATCGCGATGCGCTCCTCCTTCGTCGAGGCGGACATGCACTTCGCCCAATAAATCTGGCCCTGCTGCTGTATGATTCTCCGCGAGTTTCACACACGGACGATAAATCCGGACGTCGCATTCGAAAGTCGGTCGACTCCGATACCGAATGCATTCCCTCCCTTTCTTGCTACCCGACTAAGCAGCCGCATCGCTGTATAAATTGATGTGCATTACCAATTCAATTGTTACAAAGTATTATGTCTCAGCGTTTCTCGAGTATCTTTGCTTCTTGTCAGACGTGGAAGACGCGATTGATCATTTAAAACGTCCCTGAAATTAGCGAACGGACTCTGCAGACAGAAATCGTCCAACTGTCGGAACGACTCTTCTTGCCGTATTTAAAATTCTCGCTAAAATAGAAGAAATATATTCGGCCTGATTTTACCGCAGCACTCGTGTCTCAAAATGCTTATTGACAAATTCATTTACGCGACTCTTGTGAATAATGTATCGCGAGACGATGATCAATTTCTGATATCCATAGAATGACGAATGACACGGTTAACAACGTTGGCCGGCCGCGCACGCGAGCAAAGCATATGAGTCAACAATACTAACTTTTTCATAGCTCTCGGTAACGATGAATCGGTGGGAAATCGTCGTGAATAATCCAAGCGATCTAATCTCTCCCGTGAGGCGCCGGCAAAAAGACGCGTAAAATATGGCCACGTGAGTTATGGCCGGTCGAATCTTTCCCTCGCTTACCTTTGAGTTATATCCGATCCATAACGATGAATTTATCTGTTTCGTACATTTATATACGTTCAATACGTATACCGAATGACGTAGAATATGTCCGTTAATACTTACGAGACCACGCCTCCCGGCGAATGCGCTCGAACGGCAAGCTCCACGGCAACGCGGTCAAAAGCGTGAAAAGAGGAGCGGGAATACGCGAGAATTACGCAGTTTTGCCTCGCGCCTGGTCGCGGAAAAAGCCGGACGGAATCAATCCGAGATTTATCGATGCCGCTCGCATAATGACGTGTGCTCTGTAATCCTATTTGCCCCGCGCAAAGCTCCGTTTGGAGGCTATCCTAATTGTTCGGACGCCGCAACGGCCAAACATTATACACGTACGCCACACCGAAGGCGTCCGCACTTCGTTCAATGGCATTGTCGTGACTGCGTCGCGCCGGTGGCCGAGTGCACTTCCGACGGTGCCCCCTGCTGTTTGCCCGCGACAGGTGACGCTCCATTGTGTCGATAAAATATTGACACTCGATATTTCGTCCCGCTCGCTCAGCCGAGGAAAACATGCAAGTCGTCGTGTTTATGCAGGCGTCGTCCAACGTACACACACGCGACGTCCGTCACATTTCTCCCCGCCCCCGCGTGCCCCTAATCGCCTTTCGCAAGCCTGTTACTTTACTACCCCGCCATTAGCGAGACTTTATCATGAGAGATCCACACACTCGGCCGCCGCATCGCTGGATTTAAGTACACGCCCGTAAATTGCCGGATTTAATCCACGGACTCGTAATGTCGAGTTGGCGTTCGTTACTTTCGAGTTGTTAAGCGACAAAAGCGCGAACCGGATTTGACGCTACTTTTAATACCGGCGCGCTTCCATATCTATCCCCGAGTTCCCGGTATTTTCTCTTTCAGTATGAAAATTTCCACTTTTCTTCCATTGGAAAGAGAATTAGTTGTCACGCAATAACGTTGCAACTTTAAAACTACGAAACGTTAAAGAAGTTTTATATATACTTGAGTCATGGCAGAAAGTAAGATTGCTTTTTTAACTCGGTATGTCTCTCATCTTCGTTTCCATTTTCTCAACGAGTCGATTTGCGTTTTAGAAATGCAACACGTTACATCGTATTATAATTCAATTATTGTCACGCCGTTATTTCGCGCAGGATCCACGTAAACACTTTTCTCTGCGAATCTATGCACGTCTGTGTCACTTACCGTTTTGTTCCCCAAATTTTTGACACGGCAGTTGAGATACGTGGTCTTTCCCAGCAAGGCGGTCACGTTCTTCGAGGCCGATTTATCGAAATACGGCCCCGACCGTGCGGGATCCTCCAGAGAATTCTGGATGTATGTGTCACTGCTCTTGCCGCTGCCGCCGTGGCAGTGCACATCTGAAACACGAGGAACCGAAACATGTGTAAATGCAGCAATTTCAACGCTGAACGCAAGAGAGGATACACAGAGTCGTTCGCGGCGTTGCATTTTAAGACACGAATATTCTAGCTTGTTGAATATCGAAAAGCAAGACGTAAATAAGTATCTTTGCATGCCGGTTTTCAGTCAAGTCGAGTTGAAAGTTATTCTCGTGATAATTTGATAAAACTCGATGACGCGCGATCAATTTGTCGTCGCGAAATACTTGGTGTGTAGGTGTTTTATTACCTAAAATGAACTACGACCTTTCCGGCGAATGTAGGATTACGTAAAAAAAAGTTATACACGGCGGTCGGAAAATTACGATGGATAACGAAAGCAGATACATGTAATGTTTATTTGTACACGCAATATGCAACATACAATATGAAATGCTTCGTATATAACATTACGTCCAGAATATTATAATAATAATAACAGTAATAACAACAATAATAATATTATCCATGCTTGCATGAATACTTACTATGTTAAACTATTAATGTATACGTGTTAGAGGGAGTAGGGACGAATTGCAATGCATAATAGGTTCTCATTAAAGAGCAAGAGTGCGGAAATGCGCAAATGCGTAGTTAATGAAAAAGTCCGCCAGAGTCCGGAGATTTTAATTAAACGAGCGTTGCCACTGATAAATAAAATTTGACCGACACGGAAGAAAAGAATCCACTTACGAGCCTTGGGTGCGTAAATTACGCGACAAATTGCGGAAAGAAATGCGGCATGAAAGCTGAAATCGCAATTAGCGAGATATAACGAGCGCTTGTTGTCGTTACAGGTAGCGAGGTCATTAACTGTCCCTTGTCGTTTAACGTTTAGCGGTAACCTACTCTCGCATCAACGATTCCGTTTTCCCGCTTCGCCCTTTTCCCTTCTCATAAACAGTTAATAAGAAAATCGCTTTGCGCCGTTGCCTTTGCCGCAAAGACATTTTCGTTACGCAATGCCGTTACGATGGCGCGCGGAATTCGCAGCAGCATTTTGCGCTATGGACAAAGGAAAATGGCGTATCGTGTAATGCACTTCTTCTGACGACGACTGGCTCGCTTTATTCGATTAAACTTCCCTAAATGCATCGCAATACCGACGATGAATGAACTGTTTAAGCAATATAGAAGCCATTTTCCTCGTTACGAGGGAAACATTAGCAAAGTTTAAGAGAAGTTATCTATTAACATCAAACACGATTATCACAGCGTAAAATTTTGTGTCGCCGCAAATATGATGAATATTCTTATTTCCACCGTTCTCTGCCGTTTATTTAATCGGATGTTATCAAATGAATTTAAAAAAGGAATAAAGGTGTGTAAACTGGATCGATAAATGGCGTAAATATTTGTACTTATCCCGGATAAACTTATCTCGGAGTTAAGTGTTTTGAACTGCGAGCGGTAAACTTCTCGGAGCAAAAGGGAAGTATCATCATCGCGGACACCTCGGGGAGTTGCGAGAATTGTTTATCGGTTCAACAACTTCCCTGTCGAATCGACGACGACGACGACGACGAAGAAATCATCTTCCCGAAACAATGTCCCGTCTAATTCGCGCGAGTGACACACGCGATCGATCTCTTCGACCGCAGAGCGCGCTCACGCAGAAGTGCGCACGCGGAAACGCAGTGATCGCGATGAATCGCGCAGCGCGAATATCCTATATTCCGCACAGACGAGGTCGGATTTACGGAGATTAAAAACGTAATTTGCAATTACCTTGCTCAGCCATGCGCGCGCAGGATGAAGCCGGTCGCTTTCCATCGTTGCTCTAAATTTGGCAAACTCGTCCGCTGTTCACGGGATTTAAACGAACCGAGTCGTTCGGAAAGTGGCTAACGCTGCGAATTATTACGCTTTTCTGGGGGAGGAGTGGGAGGGGGGGGGAGGGGGGTAGGTTGCAGTTTATTCGTCTCGGCCAGGGCACGATCGAGAGCGCAGATATAATTGGCTGTGTCGCTGCTTCGGTCCCGGTAGGCCAACCGGCTGCCGTCGACCGGGCCGGCTCGTTTCCTCGCCGGGCCTCGCTATCATACGCTAGTTACGTCCTATTGCCGAGAACTCGGCGAGTATATAATCGAATTTCGCCGCTCTTGATTAGGCCGTGATTACACGAAGAGCCGCGCGCTCGCGGCTGATGCGGCAAATATTGAATCCCGAGCGCGGGCGCAGCCGACGCGCATAATCCGGCCTCCGGTTTTCTCTTAACAGCGACACTTATAGACGGCCCCCGGAACGTCGCTGGTTTATCCCTCGAGTGGCCGGGGAAACTTTATCCCGCGACTTCCGTATCGCGAATTCTCCACGGCGTTATACGCGCCGCGTTAATCCGTTTTTCCCCGAGTCCACGGCTTCTTCGCGCTTCTCTCGCAATCAGCCCCGTCGTTAGACAATATTCACCCGTCACCGTCGCTCGGCCGTTGAATGAAGACGCAAAACGAGTGGCAAGAGCGGAACTTTGCAGTTTCCGCGCGATAATCAATTATACGCGTCGGGGCCGGTTAACGGCCGGGGAGTGTCAGTTTTGCGCGAGAGAAGAGCACTCGGCAGTTTAATCGTGATGTTTTTCTTTACCAATATTCGGCGGAAACGGTCGTAATGTAATGATAAACCGGACTTTCGAAGGATTTATCTTTCGAAGGCTGACGTTGATATAAAATTTTTTGATGACTCGTGAAATCTCACTTCCCGACGCTCTCATATGTACTATAGTCGCTCCAATACTGGCAAACGTGGCTTCCAATCGCTTCCTCGGAGCTGATCCAAAAATTGCGACGATGATGAAGTCCCAGTTACCGCGCTATGTACGATACGTTACGTTTTATGTACATACATGAAGCGAGTATACGCGGGGCTCTCTTCCGCCGCGGCGTAAGGATAACGGATAAAACTTTGCTCGCAGCGGGTCCCGACAAGTTTCTTTATTAAATTTAGCAAAAGGCTGCGAGAGCAGTTGCGACGGGTCTGCTTTATTTGGCGACAAGAAATTCGAGCTCTCACGAAACGCCGCTAGAATCGCCCAAGTTTCATACGAACGAACGGGTTACAAGAGCCGACCGTGCTCGTACAATGGGCTCAGGGTAATTTAATTATGAGACGACGCCATTGACCGAGGCTTCGCAATCCGTTCTATTTCCTCAATTTCCTTCCCTCTCGCCCGTTTACGGCGAATAGCCGCGACCGACGTACATATTCTGCTTTGAGCATGATTTCGAAAAGATATAAATTCAATTCCGAGAGATCTTGACGCTTCGTGTCATTTTAATGAGCGTGCGACCTAATTCCCTCGCCTATCTGAATTTCATTTCTTAATTACTACTCGAATATTTGTATCTTCCATACATATTTCCCGCAGCGAAAATGGATTATATTTGTGTGAGGAATTAACAGCGCGGAAAGTAGGTGAAACAAATAATCTTATTCGGCCACTTTATCAACGATAAATGCTGATTTGGTAGCGAAAAGAAACGGGGGGGGAGGGGG